TACAGATTGTGGAGACTGTGGACAGTTCCTTCACTATACAGATTGTGGAGACTGTGGACAGCTTCTTCAGTGTACAGATTGAGGAGAATGTGGACAGTTTCTTCACTGTACAGATTGAGGAGACTACGGACAGCTTCTTCACTGTACAGATTGAGGAGACTGTGGACAGTTTCTTCAATGTACAGATTGTGAAGACTGTGGACGGCTTCTTCACTGTACAGATTGAGGAGACTGTGGACAGTTTTATCACTGGACAGATTGTGGATACTGTGGACAGTTTCTTCACTGTACAGATTGTGGAGACTGTGGACAGTTTCTTCACTGTACAGACTGAGGAGACTGTGGACAGTTTTATCACTCTGCAGATGGTGGAGACAGAAGCAAGATGAGTAAAGTAAGTGACAGCAGCAGAGCCTTTGTCCAGTCAGCAGAGGGCCTGTCAATCCAGGAGGAAAGCTCACAAGAAGACTGTGAAGTGGTGTCAGTGATCATTTTCAGGACAGAGTGGAAGACGACGCTAGAGGAAATCTGAGCTAGAGAAAGCCTGTGTCATTGTGGAAAACACAGTCTGTTTGGATGAAAGAAACCATGTCTGGATTTGACTTAGGTACTAATTTCTGAATATGAGTTTTGCAAGTTAGAGCTGTATCCGGCCAGATGCCTGGATATTTGTGATCCGTGACTAGTTCAGATCTGTGACTTATTCTGATTATCTCAGAATGTGAAACAGGCACCTCCTGAGTCCTCAGCAGAACAGCAACCACTTTGACCAGAAAGTACAGCCCGTACATTTACATGAATAAACCAATAATAAATAGATCACATGATGCTACATTCAATAAAACCCTTCAGTCATTAAGTAACTATCTGCACCTATGAAACTTGGCGCGATGTGAGACACAGCCTGAGTAATAGGCCTACACAGGATCTGTTCCATCATCAATTGCCTCTTGAGGAGTGACTGGCTGAAAACATTTCCTGATGTTTGGAAATGTGGAGGAACAGACGATCTGTGTACTGCAGCACCATGAAAGACCACCCACTGCTGATCAACATACAGGAAACAGCAGTCTACCACTGGATACATCGAAAAAGCAGTGACCCAAAACTGCTACCACCCTGCTGAGCCAAGAGCTGAGCCCAACAAAGAGCCCCCTGTGTCAGCTGGTCCTGAGGCTCACTGGCCCAAGTCACACTGACACCAGCCAGCCTCAGGACAGCACTGCTAGAGCACCACAACTCAGACCCAAGCACATCACAGCACAGATCAAACAGCAATATCTCACAACATACTCACAACATAAGCTGGAATGCTACAGAATCCTAAACAGACAATACACTCTAGCTGAATACCTGACCAGAAGAAGTACAGGCTCAGCGAGCACAGCCAGGCCATAGACAGAGGACACAGGCAGACCTGCCTGTCCAGAGAAGAGGCTCAGTGACCACAGCCTGGTCACAGAAACTGGACACAGGCAGACCTGCCTGTCCGAAGAAGATAGATTGTGCTCCCAATGCCAGGAGGGAGAAGCAGAGACAGAGGTGCACCTTCAGCTGCAGTGTGAGAAATACTCTGGAATTAGACAAAAATTCTTCCCTAAAATAATAAAACTCATCCCACAATTTCCACACCTAATGGAATCAGAGGAGCTGGGAGAAAGGGGGAAACTCACTTGAGCTGGCAGCACAGTACGTGACATCAAACTCCTTAAATCTTACATTCGCACTGAAATGCTTAAAGTTTTCTAAGTCTCGTGTTTGAATTTAGAAAGTGTCATTTTAACAGGATTAACATTTTTAAACGTTCTCTCTCTATCCTAGTTTGCACGGCGGTCTCTGGCAGGAGCTGTCCAAACTCGTGTCGGTGAATATTTACAGGCACTGCATTCCAGAGGGATAGACAAGGAGGAATGAAGCAGGAGTTACACAGATTTCCTATGTGTTGTTATTGCATTTTTTATCTTTTATACGGCATTCAAGAACAGATTAACAGGAAAAATAAGGAAGGTCAATACTGACAGAGTTAAACTTAGGTTTGAACAAATTCGCCACTTTCTCAAATGGGGAATTTGGTTCCTTAGATTATGTTTGTTTTTTATATAATTTCTAAATAAATTAGATTTTAATTATAAAAATGCAAAACGTTCAAGCCACTTTGGTTTTGGGGCATGAAAGATCCTTTTTGCCCTTTGCTTTTAACGGTAAGGCACGACCTGCCAGCGATACACTTTCCGGGAGAAATGTGACAGCGAGGCGGCTGCCGGTGAAAAGCCCGTAGAGCGGTTTCGGGGAGCTGGTGCTGCAGTCCGGGGCGGGAGGAGGCAGAGACGCGGACTGAACACACCGAGTCGTCGCTGCCGCAGGTCGGTCTGCGCGACTGCGCCCCGTTCCGAGTCCAGGGGTTGTGGGCTGGGAGCCGGGTGCTCGGTGTCACCGGAGGGTGTAGGGGCTCTTAACCCAGAGTAGCTACGATTAGGCCGGTAGGCTGAGCTGGTGGATCCTCAACCGCAAGCTAGCTCCGCGGGGAGCGAACACATTTCTTCTCCTTCTGTGGATTGGCACCCCTCCGGTCCGACACTCCAAACATACACACACCCCTCCTGCTCCGACACCCGACCACATGTACCCCCTGCTCCGACACCCCAAACATACACACCCCCCCGGCTCCGACACCCGACCACATGTACCCCCTGCTCCGACACCCCACATACACACACCCCTCCTGCACAGACACCCCGACCACATGTACCCCCTACTCCGACACCCCAAACACACTGCTCTAACACGGATACACACATCAACAGTATATGGCTAGTATAGATCATAATATCTGTCTGTTTAATTAACATTTTAATTGACATTATTAATGCCCAGTGCCTTCACAGACAGTACCAGTGTATGTGGTGGGAAATACGCCTGTTTTGAACTCAATAAAGTCTATGGATCTGGAAGCGCGTGTGTGCTCCTGTAGTGTGGTACACTGGGGAGTGGCGGTGATGGGCTCCCGGGGGAGATCAGGGCACGATACACAGGACTGTAATCCCAGAGTTATCCATAATATTTAACCTTAAGCACAGGGGAGGGTTACAGTCAGAGCCTTAAAAACCATCAATTGCTTTTCATGAACGAGCAACGTGGTGTCAAGGACTAATTTGACGAATGCTTGGAATCGGTAGGCACCCTGGTCACTCTGATGCGCTGGGGAGGGTAGGAAAGAGACATTATGACCCTTATTGCATTACCAGCTTTATTAACGTGGTGACGGCATTCGGAGACAACTGCGGCGGGGCGGTAGTGAACAGCAATGCGCCGGCCGGCGCTAGGCGGCGCTCTCTCCCCACCCTGGCTCAGCGTGTGTGTGTGTGAGTGCGCGAAAGACGCTCACTCTGCGTGTCCGTCTGTCTCTCTTCCCCCACATCGAAGATGGCGGTGTCCGTGTTTCCCGGCGTGCGGCTCCTCTCCATCGGCGACGCGAACGGAGAGATCCAGCGGCACTCGGAGCAGCAGCCGCTGAAGCTCGAGGTGAAAACCACGCAGGACGCGGCCCTGCTCACCCTCTCCAACAGTGAGTACCACCCCCGGCGCGGCGCCTCCCCGCCCGGCGCTGGATGAATGCGAGCCTGTGTGCTCGGCACAGACCCTCGCTCTGCGCGCTAGCGGCGTGGCGTTTCCCGACACCTCGGATGTAACCCCGGTTTCCGTGCCGCCTGATTTCTCGAAGGCTTTTCCCGGAACACGCAGCCCGGGTTAGCCAGCCCGCTTTGCCAGGCGGGTTCGGGGCCCGGCGGCTCGCTGGAGCAGCCCGGCCCGGCTCTGCGCGCTTGTGCTGCTGAGACGCCGGAGTCCCGAACAGACTCGGAGCGCCCTGCTCGGGACGGAGCTGCGCCTGGTGTCTGTAACTGGTGTCCCTGGGACGGCGAGTTGAGGGGGCAGAGGGGGGCTCGGTTGCGTTAGTACTTTATCGGCTCCTGCGGAGGGACGGGTTTGCAGTCCCTGCCGCCCTGACCGAGGTCCGAGCCCTAGCTTGAAAGCGGCCTTGCGGCAACTCCGCACCGGCGAGCCGATCACCTTCCCCGGACCAGCGGCTCCGGGTCTCGGCCCCGGCACACCGCCTCGCCCTGGCCGCCACGGGGAGGAGGGGAGCCCCGTGTCGCGGTGATCCCCCCACCCTCATCGGCGGGGTGCGGGTGCTGCACATGGGGAGACGGACAATAGCCCGCACCCCTCTCTTCCCCGCCCCCTCCCTCTTCCTCTCGGCTTTGTTGCGACGTGAATGGCGCAGTCTAGAGACACAGAGGCCCCGGATTATATGAAGGCCCGAGTGCATGAAGGGGGATCCTCTGGCCAGGTGGCCGAGTCCTGTTTGGGGGAGGGGCACCTCCTTTTGTTGTGTCCCCCCCCCTCGGAGGAGACCCGTTGGGCCGCCGGAGGCAGCGTCGTGGCCCGGGTGCGCACAGGGCCCGTCCGCTCCGCTGCTCTTAAAGGGCCAGCGTCTCATTTCCAGCTCCGCTTGTGTCGGGCGCCAGAGGCAGCGTGATGAGGGACCACTCAGAGTCAGGGTGCTCCTGCTCTGGGGGGCAGCTGGGCAGTAGCACGTGTCCGCGATGCCCCGCACGATTCGCGTGTTCCCGTCCATCGCTCTAGACCCGGCACTGCAGGAGCCCCGGCCGGGTCCGAAGCCCGGGAATGGATCAGGCTGCTATGAAGGGGGAGTTGGGGTGCTCGGCCGTGGACCCGGAGGGGTGTGCGTGGTTTGTGCGAGTCTAAGGGTCGGGTAAACGAAGCCCAGCGATCAGCTGATTTGCGCCGGTACGGCCGGTGGAAATGGTGCTGTGCAGCCGCCTGAAAAGCGAACTGCGATGCAGATGCGTTTGGCTGGTCGTTTTCAGCAGCGCGAGGGCTGAATTCTTCTGGAGCGCGGACGGACAATGCGCTGCCCCTCACCGGGGGCGGCGCTTGCTTCGTTTTCTCAGCGGCGGTGCCCTGTGATTGGGTGCCCATCTTGAGTGACAGGGGCCGCAGCCAGTCGTGAGGCGGCGGCGGGGAGGTGTGTCGGCGCGGGGCTGTTGATGTTGACTGGAAGAGGGTCCGTCCCCTGCCCGCCATGCGTGGAGAACTGGGCAGCTTGAGTGGTACTTGTCAGAGTCCTAATTCTTATAAACTAGACTTCTGGAAAGATCTCCAGGTCTGTTTCTGAGGATTTTAAGATGTTTGACTACCTGGTGAAAGCAGAAGCAGTTTAATAAGACGATTATGCAAGATTATGCAGTGCAAGATGAGAACAGCTATTTTAGTTTCAACGTCAGTTCTAAAACGTTTGCATGTCTGGAGCTGCCTTCACCCTGAAGGGCCTCTCCTGACCACCATGGTTTAACGTGGGGTTTCCCACTCCTGGTCCCGGGGTCCCCCACCTGCTGCTCAAAGCCGAGCTCTTTAGCCTCTAAAGGGATCCTCAATCGAAGCAGCTGGAGCTCGAACCTTGGCCACTTTCTTTCTACTCTGTCTGGAGCTCTCAGGTGATCTTGCAGAAGCTATGAGGCGGCTTCCTACGTGCTCCGGACCTAAAGCTGTATTGAAGTGTCCGAATGAAACGTCAAGCACACAACGGGTGTAAGATAAGATCACTTTATTGGCCATATGCAATTTCTTCCATTAGGAATTTGTCTTTTTGCATACTTCAGCTTGCTCTCCATGAGACCAAGCACACAGTCAGGGAGAGAAGCTAGGGGTCAGAGCACAGGGTCAGCCATTGTACAGCACCCCTGGAGCAGTTGGGGTTAAGGGCCTTGCTCAGGGGCTCAACGGAGTAGGATTCCTGTGCCGGCTGTGGGATTTGAACCTGCAACCTTCCAGCCACAGGCACAGACCCTTAACTAGGTGTGGTTATTTAATCGAGCGCTTAGGTGGAACAGAACAGGACAGGTGTGTAGGACTGGGAGGGCTGGTCCAGTTTCTCCTGCGGAATGGGGTCTTGTCACCATAGTGGGGTGCCTGCTTGGACATTCATCTCTTCAGGCCAGAGCACCACCTGCTGGACTCCTGAGCTCTGAGAGGATCTGCACAACCTCGAGGGTTTTGTGTTGTGTGGCAGTAAACGTGATGGCCATATTTGTGGCATTCATTAATATCGCTGTGGCTGTATGAAACACTCCTCTTGACGATGTCAGCTTGTAACAACAGTTAAGGACCCCTTTGACACTCTTACCTGGCAGCAAATATGGTTTTGTTGATTATTTTAAAGAAAAAAGCAGCCAAGGATTGGAACGGAGAAATTAACTGACGAATCATTTTAAAATGGAAAGCTCATCATTTTGATCCTGCATTCTGCTACACAAGTGAGCTGCGAACTGCTGTGTGAGTGAAGGAAGGGACAGCAGTGGCCCCCCAGGAGGCGCTGTATCTGCGCCTGCAGCAGCAGTCTGCCGTGGCGTCAGGGAGCACATGAGGGGTACCAGCTGGGGGCGCCGGCAGTGGCGGGGTGGCACGGACAGCCACTGCAGTGCCCTTGCCTGGACACCAGTGACCGGAGCGGTGGCTCTGTGGCTAAGGATCTGTGCCTGTGGCTGGAAGGTTGCCGGTTCAAATCCCACGGCCGGTAGAGGAATCCTACTTCCCTGGGCCCCTGATCAAGGCCCTTAACCCCAACTGCTCCAGGGGCGCCGTACAATGGCTGACCCTGCGCTCTGACCCCAAGCTTCTCTCCCTGTCTGTGTGTCTGTGTCTCCATGGAGAAAAGCTGGGCTATGCGAAAAGACGAATTCCTAATGCAAGAAATTGTATAGGGCTAATAAAGAAACATTATTAACATTATTATTATTATATCTCCTGATGTTTCTTTTCTGCTGTCTGTGCTCGTGAAACTGCGCCCCGTTTGTATGGGGGAGTCCTGGGGGCAGCAGGGCTCGCCGGTCTGCAGGGGTGACCTGCTGTAGTCCAGCGTGGTGGGGGTGTTTGAGAGTGAAGATGTGCGTGGGCTCTAACATCTGTGTGCGTCCTGCGTGTTCCAGCAGAGGAGACCTGCGTGTTCAAGTGCTCGGTGTCCCGGGAGACGGAGTGCAGCCGCGTGGGGAAGCAGTCTTTCATCGTGACGCTGGGCTGTAACAGCGTGCTGCTGCAGTTCTCCTCCCCCACAGGTACCCCCCTCCCCCTCGTCCTGTCAGTGTGTGTCTCTGTCTTTCTCTCTGTGAGCGCCTCTCCCTCCCTGTCTCTGTCAGGTGTGCACTCTAGTGTGCGTTGCTGTATTGTCACCAGTGGCTTCTGCTTCATTCCAGAGTTCTGTTCCTTTTATAACATCCTGAAGAACTGCCGTGGTCACAATGTAGAGCGCTCCGTCTTCAGCGAGAGGACGGAGGAATCATCTGCTGTGCAGTACTTTCAGGTACAGAAGCACTGACCCTGACTGTTGTGGACGTATCCTCTTAGCCACTGACTCTGACTGACCGAGCAGTTGGACACGCTGCTACATCTACTGACACCCCCACTGAGCCTGACGGATGGACCAGTGGACACATGGACACATCTATTGACACCTCCCCTGAGCCTGACTGATGGACCAGTGGACACATGGACACATCTACTGACACCCACACTGAGCCTGATTGATGGACCAGTGGATATGTGGACACATCTACTGATGCCTACAGACCCTGACTGACTGGACCACTGGACACTTGGACACATAGATTGACTGATGGACCAGTGGACACATGGACTGACCCACTGATACTGATTGCACCAGCAGACACATGGACACATCTACTGACACACCCATTGACCAATATCGATGAACCAGTGGGCACACTTGACAACCGGACTGACCCTGACTCCTGGACCGTTGGACACAGGGACAGGCCCCTGACCTGCCTGGTCTAGACTGTAGTCTTGCACTGGGACTCTGGCTGAGCTCTGTCTCTCCTTCCTCCTCTGCAGTTCTATGGCTACCTCTCCCAGCAGCAGAACATGATGCAGGACTACGTGCGGACCGGGACATACCAGCGAGCCATCCTGCAGAACCACACGGACTTCAAGGACAAGGTAGCGGGTCAGGCGGCGGCTGGACTGGTTGTGGGTGCTGGTTCTGCACCAGGGCTGCCGAGTCTGTATGAACCATGAACCCCCCACCCCGTATCCCTCAGGTGGTCCTGGACGTGGGCTGCGGTTCCGGGATCCTGTCGTTCTTCGCCGCGCAGGCGGGGGCCAGGAAGATCTACGCGGTGGAGGCCAGCACCATGGCACAGCACGCTGAGGTACCTGGGCACAGGCCGGCAGCACCGAGCACCACTGCCCTCTGTTGGGAGAGCAGAGTAGAGGAGTTTATTCCCGTATCTACACGTACGTGGGATCTGTCAGGATGGTGTGGTACAGCAGATGGCACAGGACAACAGGCAACAGCACAAGATATAGACAGTACATTACAAACATAATTATAACAGGACAATCAATGTGTTGTGGACAACAATGAATGTGTAGTAGTGAAAAAAACATGCCAAAGGTGTACAGTGCAGACGTGCATCGAGTCTGAGGCATTGCAGTTAGCTGTGAAGGGTGTGTACTGTGAGTACTGCAGTGAGGGAGAAGCTGTTCTTAAGCCTGGTGGTCTGTGCTTTAATGAAGTGGTACCACTTGCGCAGGGGGGAGGACAGTTTGTGGCCGGGATGGTTGGGATCCTGAATGATGGATTGGGCTTTATTGCAACAGAGGATGGTGTGAGTCTCACTGATTGATGGTGAATCACGTCCTATAATCCTCTGTGCCGTTGACACAACCCTTTGTAGTGCGTCTTTGTCGTGCACGGTAGTATTGCTGTACCACACAGTGATGCCACTAGTGAGGACACTTTCTATGGTGCTGCGGTAAAAGTTCATGAGGAACTTCTTCCCCAAACTGCATTTCTTTCAGCTCCGCGGAAAGTACAGGCGCTGTTGTGCCCTTTTCAGGCTGGCTCCAGGGCTGGGAGGGGGTTCAGGGTAGGCTTGTGGGGCTCTGTGCAGAGGGAGGAGAAATGATGATGCCCTGTGCTAACCCTGTCTCTCTGCCCAGGTCCTGGTGAACAGTAACGGGCTGTCGGACAGGGTGGTGGTGATCCCTGGGAAGGTGGAGGAGGTCTCTCTGCCTGAGCAGGTGGACATCATCGTGTCGGAGCCGATGGGGTACATGCTGTTCAACGAGCGCATGCTGGAGAGCTACCTGCACGCCAAGAAGTTCCTCAAGCCCAGCGGTGAGAGACAGGCTGCCCCCTGTCCACGTCTCTCCGCTCTGTGCTTTCTGACACACCCTACCCCCTCAAGCTGGCCACTGGTCTCCCATGAGCACATCTCTCCCTGTACTGCTCCGTGCTTCCTGTCAGACAGACCCTAACCCTCAGACTGT